TGGGGGAAAAGTTAGTATTGTAGTAAAAATCAAAAATGATTGGGAAGAAAAAAGAGAATTTATTTATTTAAAAGATGTTGAATTAAAAAAGCGTTTTGTATTGAAAAAAATTGAAAAACATATGAATCAGCATGATTCTAGCTTCAATTATAATATTGAGGGATTTTTGCGTCGTATTGACGTAAACCCTAAAGGAAATATTTTTAATATTGAAATAGATCAAAGATGTAAATTTTCTGAAGTATTAAAAAATAAAGTTTTGATTGATATTGCAAATAATAAAAATATACAAAATATTTTGATTGGATTTGAAAAACAGGTGTTTTAATTTTGCTAGAGAAGGTGCTCGCCCTTCGGGCGATCGGAGGAGCTTCGGGCGGGAGCTCACTCCCTCCCTTCTGCGGGAGCTCGCCTCTCTCTTCGGGTGAGCTCCTCCGCTAACATAATTCTCCGCTAGCCTAACAATACTTATAAGTCAAATCAAGTCATTTCCGTACATTCTTTTCCGTTGCCGAAAACCTTTTCGATCAACTATAAACTTTTCAATTATCAACTCTTAGTTGATAGGTGTTCGAGTAACTATCACTTATTAACTATAAACTTTTATAAATAGGTAATTGATATGTAATTTTATTAACTATTAAATATCATCTATTAATAATAAAGAATAATAAATTTAAAAAATCAAGAGTAATTAACTATTAGTAATTACCTTTAATAATTAATTTGTTTATAAATTTAAGTTGCTCAGGAATAATAAATTTAATAAAACGAAAAAAAATTATTATGAAACTTCTATACTAGAAGAAACCTTAGAAAATATAAAAATAAATAAAAAAGAATTATTAACAGAAAATATAAAAAATTACAAAGACAAACTTTTGTCAAGTTATTGGACGGAAATTAATTTAATTGGATATAAAATTGAATTGTTAGAAAAACAAAATGTTGAATATCCGAAAGAATTAGAAAGCAAAATTATTTACATTGGCAATAAAATAAGTAAATATATTTTTAAATTTGTCTATCTTTTTATTTGACTAAAAATTTTCTTGGATAATTATAGGTGGAATAATTGAAGTAAATAAACGAAAGTGTTTCAATTGTAGAGTTACACAAGCAAAAGGGTGGTATAGTTTACTTAAAGAACATTATTTGTGTAAAGATTGTGGCGTTTATAAACAAAGATCTGGCAAGTTTAGACCAAAGGAACATTGGTTTAAGACTAGAAAGGTTATCTTTATCAATATTTGGTTAATTTTTGTGGTTCGGGCCGTGTTTATATGCAGAAGAATTTACAGATACTGTAGCGTTTACCCAGGATATATGACCTGGATATAACGATAGATAATCCTGGGTAATAAAATGGAAGAAATCTTACCTAAGGATCTTCAAATTTCTCAAAATTTTTCTTATTTTTTTGCATATGGCCTTCCAAAATTCTAAAATTTTTTGCTCGCGGAGCTTGAAAAGTAGTTAATATGGCTTCTTGGCCATGCTACTAAATAGTAACTAAAGATACATAAACATCTTCCTATTATTACCTAAATATCTAGTACCTAAACTACATTGTAACTAACTAGTACCTAAAGATCTTCTTTAGGTACCTAACTAGTACCTAAAGATCTTCTTTAGGTACCTAACTGGTACCTAAAGATCTTCTTTAGGTACCTAACTAGTACCTAAAATCTTCGAAATGTTATTTCAGTAAATCTGTATTGATAATTATAATTTAAATATTTATGCTCCAATCCTTTTCATATAATTTTTTAGCGATATGCACAAAATCGAAGTTGCTTTATTTGCGGTACAAAACAAACGATACGTTGGTACCGTGATTCAATACCTCAAAACGATTTGTGTAATAAATGTTACCATAAACGACGTAGAACAATGACGAAAACAACTAAAAATTTAAAGGATAATGAACCGAATAAAAATATCTATAATGACTAGAGAGACAAATTAAAATCCAGGCATAAAATAAATAAATCTCGTGCTGTGGACAAAAAATGTTAAAAAAGCTAATTTTTATAAACCTTTCTGACCCGTTTTATAACGTAAATACTCTAAAATAAGCCCTGTGCTTATATTTTTCAATAGGCATTTTGACTGGGCTTTTATTAGAGGCGGTCTTATATTAGAGGCTGGGCTTCTAATAGAGGTGGGCTTATATTAGAGTATTTACGGTATTCAATTTTATTTGATATCGAGGCGTTGTAGCAACTTTAAATTTAATTCAATATGTAAATAGGAAACTTGGGATTTGTGAAATCTCTTTACATCCATGACACTCCTGTTTGTTGACGATGATTATTACATTTTAGTTTAGTAACTAATAAAATTTATCGTAATTTATTATTTTATAAATTTTTATTTAAAATACAAAAAAACTTTTTAGTAAATTTTTTATTTGATAATTGTGAATTATTTATTTAATAATTAGTATTAACGTCAATTTAATAAAAAAATTACATTGTATTCAGGGCTTCGATCCGTACTTATTTTTGAAGTCTCAGGAACTTCCGAGTTTTTAAAAAACTTGAATACACGTACTTGTAAATTGACTTTTTGAAGCTTAAAATTCTTAGAATTTTCCTATGTACATACAACTAAACAAAACTCGATCGCAGCCCTATAATTAAACAATATTTTTAGCATTTAATAAACAAAAAATGTTCTAAATTAAATTATAATACTTTTACATTCTTTTTTTTTGTATTCTTTCCCTTTCATTTTTTTTGAAAAATAAAATTTATTTATGGGAGACTTGACCTTACTTAACATCTAAATCAAAAAAAAGTTGAATTGAAAAAAGGCGTAATAGAGAGGGGCATCCAAAAATGAATGAAACAAAAAACGAGAGGTGTGGCCTATTTTGATTTTTATTTGCCTAAATTGTGTACAAGTTTATTATTAGACAAATTTTGATTATTTAACATAATAAAGAGCAAAATTATTATTTATTTTGTTAATATTTTTATGATAATTCAATTTTTCAATAATTTAGATCATTTTATACTCCTATTAATCATATCGTCCACTCTATGCCTTTGTGGAAAATTTAGTTTAATTAATCCTGAACTCTATTAGTAAAGTCTAAACATCAAATTTGGATATTTATCTGTTGGAATACTTCTTACTGTATTTGTTCTAGCAATCAGAAATTTTTTCCGATTTCTGAAAAAATTTTGATTTTCGAGTTCCGACTCTTCCGATTTCCGACACCTCGGACTGTTCCGACCCACCTCTGCTAGTAATCACTTTGTGTGATTATTCCTCCAATCCATTTAACTAATGGAGATAGGATAATTAGCTGAGGCAGTGCAATTACTAGAACAAATACGTTAAACTTATGCCGATTTACTCGGTATAAGTCAACTGAATTCTTAGCTCTTTTAGGCATTCAAACATTAAATTTAGCAGATAATTATAGATACATATATCGAAATTAATTTAAAATGCCAACAAAAAAAGATTTGCTAAAATTTTTGAAAAAACTACTAAATGCTTCAAAAAAATCTATAAATAAAACTGCAAATAAAATTGTTGATGAATTGGTTGAGGATTATTACAAGCTTGATGATTCAAAAAGCGTTGTAGATGATCTGATAAAATTTTTATTATGTATCATAAAATTGGTAAATGATTGTCGAAATCTTGTATCTAAGGTAAGCTCATTTCGCATACCTATCTGTTCGGGTCTGGATCATACCTGCATTTAACGCAAGATTTTTTTATGACGAAACGAAACTAAAAAATCGTTAGCGTATTGAACCAAACGAAATATTTAATTTTCAGAAAAAAAACTTAATTCTTCCAAAATCCCTCGATATCCCTCTTAATCTTCAAATGCATTGATTTCTATGAACCTCAAAATCCCCTTAATGTCGTCAAATCACGATATTCCTCATCCGATTATGTGTTCAATTTGACATAAGATTCGAGTTTAGTGTATTAAAGAACAAATCGAATGGGAACGTTTGAAAGTCAAAGTTAAGTTAAATTATCAACAGCAGAGGTTTAGAGTTTTTGGGTGAACTTTTGGCCTAATAGGGTAATTTTTCGTCACAAATGAAATTAAACAGGAAAAAGCCTAACGAATAAACAAAACGTTTCTTGCAGATCTGATCCGGATATCCAGCGATTTCTCAACGTATGCCAACCCAAAATAGGATTACTTTAATACTAAATCATAGGTATATCGCAGGACATGGGTCCTGTTTTATTAAATTATATAATCACCTTTATGCTTATATTTATTATTTAGATTCAAATTGAAAATAATTTTTGTGCCTTTCTGAAAGATCGAATTAAAAACGCAGTAAAAAATTCTCTAAAAAAGTATACTGATAAATTAATTGATTGTCTGCTAGATTCTGATGATTCAAGTTGCAAGAAGTTTGATCTTCTGAAAGAATTTCTTAGGCAGCCGCTGAAAGACATTGTAATGGATATACTGATTTTTGAAATTGAGGTAAATCAAGCAAAAATTGGAAAATTTTACCCAAAATTTGCTTAAGCATATTCCAACAGGTATCACAACTTTTGCGCCGAGAACATTTGCGCCGTGACTTTTGCGCCGCGACTTTTGCGCCGCGACTTTTGAGCGCCGCCATTAAAAAAAATAAAATAATAACTACAATCGGACCTTACCCATCGGGTTTAAAAAATGGTATTGAGGAAATGAAGGAAGTTCAGGAAGTACAATGGGGGGTCCGGTATCTGATGAATTAGGTCTGGGTCATAAAAGTATGTTGCACTATAGTGAGGTCTGGCTGTTTTTTCATATATGTTCTCGGCGCAAAAGTCATGGAACTTTCCACAATAAGTTTTACATTAATCTTTTGATATTAAATTGTAATTAATTATATACCTACATATGTATGTTGTTATTCAATATTTAGACTGATCACAATATAATTTTCTATTTGTATGAGAAGATAAATGATGCAATAAGAAATTTTCTAAAAAAAGTGTTAAAATATCTACTGAAATCCTTTGTAAATTATCTGGCGGATGAGATTTGTCGCTGTAGCATTGGAGGTCGTACTTTTGGGAAAGGGGGCAATGATGATGACGATGATTCTGATAGTACTTATGATGATTCGGATGATGAATCAAAGAATAGGGTAAAATATTTTGTTTATAATCTTCAGCTTAACCATAAACTTTACGAATACATAAGAAATACTTTCTTAGAGTTTACTGTTTGTAATACAAATGTTAAATTAACTTATAAAATATTATACATAGGGCATTTTGTTTAGATATTTACATACTATCTATTATGGTTTACAGTATAGACTGAAATAATTGCCCTTTTAAGATACTTATTACATCCCTATTAATTACCACTTCTGCCAGAGGTTGCAGAAATAATTACTCAAAATAATTATTTTAGCTCACATTTTCCAGAAACGTCTCTTCTAGGTTGAATACAGGTATTAGACCGCGTTGATCTTGTGTCCAAACTGATCTTGATGAATGAACTATCATTTGTATAACCTAATTTTCTACCTCAAAATTGAGCATAATCGGCCTTACGTTTTTGCAGTTTTTATGAGTATGTAAGGATCTCATCCAAGAGGCGTCTTTGGAAAATGGAAGTCATTCTATGCAATTTACCGTAGTATTTATTCTAATAGGAATGGTGGTTCCATTTTTAAACTTCTCCATTTGGGGTGGTTATATTAGAGACTGTGGTTCTATTAGAATAAATACGATAACTTGTTAAGATAGATTATACCATATACCTATGTGCCAATATACTTATTCAATTTTAGAATTTATTTGATGTTGTGTTTGAGAAGCTATTTGAAAAAATAAGTGATTTGTTTAATGATTTGGGTGAGAAGGTAGATGAACTACTTCAATTTTTTGATAATCTGTTGAGGGAACTACTTAAATTTTTCAAAGATTTGCTTAAGAAACTGCTTAATTATTTGAGTGATAATCTATTGGAGAAGCTAGAAAATGAGCTTAGAAATTTAATTAAAAAGATGCTTAATGATGAGAAGGTTAAAAAGAAGTTAATGAAGATGATCAAAAAGCTAATGGATGATTTGTTTAAAGAAGAGCAGGAAAAGCCATTCATGGATTTTAAATTAGTGTTAGAATATGAGACAAAAGATGTAGAACTGAATGAGAAAGTATACTTGTTAATTATAAACAATCTTTCGTTAAATGCCTCATATAATGCTTCGTCAAATGCTTCAGATGTGGTGGTAATTAATTTATTAAATAACTCAAATCTATTTTTCATAATCCTCTATTCTTTTGAGGGGGTTAGGTTCACTTTTTGCCGAATAACTGCCTTTTACACAGAGATTATGTGTGTAGAGATCGGGCAAATCGAATATTCGATCGAATATTTTTTAACTCGAAATATTCGACTTTGAATTTTACTGAGAATTTGATCTTTACATATATTTTTCCAATCTACATATAATCATGTGCCAGAACCAAAAATTATCTGTTAGATAAATAGGGTTTACAAAAAACATATCTTATACATACATTTAAAATTTAGATATCGGAAGAATTCAAGTATAAATTTGAGTCAATACTTTGAGAACAAATACAAAAATGATCTTTACAATTTGATTTAAATTTATTTAATTATAACCAAGGATGTCAAATATGGAAATATATATTTTTGTGTTAAATGAATCTATGTTTCGTTTTCATTTCCAAATTTTAAATTTTTCGTTCATATGTTTGGCAGCCTCAATTAGAACTCAATTATACATAGTATTTACTAGATTAATTCCCCTCCCTTGAATAATTCCCCTCCCTTGAATAATTCCTCATGCTAGAGTTATGTTGAATCAATAATTCCCCACCCCCAAATACCCTACTACATGTTCAAATTTCAAAACTCAAATAATTCCCCTCCCTTGAATAATTCCCCATGCCACGGATGGGTTGAAACAATTCCCCGGGTGAATTAATCGAGTAAATACGGTACATATTCTTATATACTTATCAATACAAATTTTCTAAAATAATCTCTTCCTTTTCGAAAAATATTAAAACACTAATTGAATTTTGGCTTTAACTGAATTTTATATCATATCGAAAGTTAAAAAATAATGGGTAAATATTCTTTCCTAGCTTGCATAAAAAATATCATCATTATTTTTAATGATCACGATTTATTGTTTAATTGTATATCCTTTAGAGAAAATAAAAATTTGATCAAAAATAGGGAAACCGGGTACTTATAAAACAACCCAATAAAAAATAGTACCAATAAAATATTATAGCAAAACAATTTTTAAAAAATCCTCAGTTTTTTTCTATATTCGTTTATTTAATTCTTGAATAATTTAAACAATTTAAGGAATTATAATTTTTTATGGTTTTTCCTTGAACCATAAGTATATAGTAAAGACAGATTGAGATAATATCTCAAATAAAAATCTTGATTATCGAGTTGAGATATTTTTTTTTCTCGTCGATTCTCGTCGACCCTCTCAGAACCCCTTCTATATACATATTGCTCAAAAGGTGGTTAGGCTCAGCCACCTACCGTATTTATTTTAATTGAATAGCACTAGAGAGAGGAACGGGATCGGGACCCGGTCCCGTTTCCCGGTCCTTTTTCCCGGCTTTTTTGAAGATGCCGGGATGAAACCGGGATCGGGAATTCCTGGTTTTCCCGGTCCGGGCCCCTCCCGGTCGACCTTCAGAACCCGTTTCCCGGTCCCGGTTTTTTCAAAATTCCGATCTCTAAATAGCATTAATATTTGAATGAGCCTATTTTGGGGATATTGTAAAATAAAATTCTGCATTTCTATTAGAATAAATCTGGTATTTATTAAATCTGCAATGCTCGCATACAGATTAGGAAATTAATATTTTTATACGAAAAATAAATTTTCAATTTATTAGCCCCCCCCCCCCCCCCCCCGCAAATGGAAAAAATTCTTTTGAGAGAACTGAGTAATTTGTTTATTTAAATAAATTTTTTGATTAAATTGGCAGATAAAATAGAAAAAATTTTTGTTTATCCAAATACAAAAGAAAGTATAGATTACACGTTAATACGAATAAAATTAAACAAAAAAATTTTTTTAAAAACATATTGTTCCCAAAATAATAACAAAATGTTTTTAATTTGTTTTTTACACTTTCTTTTGATCGTGTAACTTTGAGATATTTTCTCTTACTAGCTCAAAATGTTAATTTTATTTATTGTTTTGTTAAGACAATTTTATTTTTTAAAGAATAAGTAAAAAAATATTTATTTTTCATTAAAAACAATTTTTATCAGACATATCTCCACGTTTTTAATACATTTTATTTATTTAAAAATTTATACGTGAACAATTTTTTCCAGATTAACCGTTCAGTCAGAACTTTATACGTTTAATTAAACATTATTTTTGAATTGAATATTCGAATATTTATTACAGGAAAATTAATTCAAAATAGATATTGGATATTAATCACGGAAAAGATAACTAATTTTCTCACTACACCTTAGGTCTATGTCTGATCTACTCACACATAGTTATTGTACACACCAGGGATGGGACAAGTTACCCGAACCCAGGACCTTTTTTACGGGCCGAAACCCGATCCGAAGAACTCATCCCATCCATCGTGTGTGCAATACCTCTTGGTGAGTAGATCTAGCTCTCTCTTTGAGTAGATCTCTCTCTTTCCCGCCGACCTCGTTCAAATGATCTAATTCGGAACGCTCTGGTATGTACTCAATCCTCGACATACTGAAGCGAAACATATCAGGCTTGTATCCGAACTAAAATTTTAAATTTTACTATTAGATCGAATTAATCAAAATATTTTTTCCTTAAATGAAATTTTTAGGAATTTTCCAGACTTAATTATTAAACATTTTTCAGGCGGTTATGTAAATTACAAATATTGATATTATCCTTTAATTTCAAAATGGAATCAAAAGATGATTTACTAATATTTATAGAAGAACTATTAAGTTCTACAAAAGCAGTTATTAAAGAAACATTTAATGAAAATATAGATCCAATTGTTAATCAAGTAATTTGTGCTTTATTTTTGTCTAAAGATGCAGTATTTGCCGATTTGAATGGCTCGTTAAAAGAAATTATAATAGGCTTCATTAGATTGGTGTTGGATACTTTACGAGTATTACAAAATGAGGTAAATCAAGCAATTATTTTCTAGTGTATTATCCTTTCTGGAGTTTATTTTGTGGATTTCACAGGCTTCTAGTTTGGCTCCGATACCTAGTTTGGCTCCGATACCCTTCCTGAAGTCTAGGCTTTTTGATCACTAGTTAACGTACATGCATAATAACGACCCTCAAATAATTATCCACGCTCTATGAATTACCCTCTCAATTGCAGTTTGAAGGAATACTCAGGATAATTATGTATTTGAGCACACCCGTTTATTAGAATAGTTTTCCTAAATATATTTTGAAATATCCACAAATGACTGTGTTATAGGATTAGTTTTGGCGTATCTCGATATCCGAATCCTCGGAATTTCTTTGAATTCATAAGACTTGCCACCTCAAACATTAGATCAATTATAGGGTATTAATTAAGGTTGGCGTATCCATCTTCGAAAAAAAGACGAGATATCTGAACTCGGATCCTGATATCAAAAATTTCCCATGATCCGCCAACCAAATTATTAAATTATAAAATATTGTATATTCAGATGGATTTCGCTGCTCCTCTGAAAAACCGAATGAAACCTGTAATAACAACTTTTGTACGAACTATGGCTGATGTACTAATTGTCAATTTGTTTAAGTCTGATGTTTCAAAACACAGGAAATTTTATCTGCTAAAAGAATTCGTTAAAGATATACTAATGGACCTTGTAGTGGATTTGCTAATTTTTGATTTGAAGGTAAATTGAACAATAATTTTAGTTTGTGTTGGACTTTATTTAAATTTTTGGTAATTCTGAAATATCTCTTATGTACATATGTATACCTAAATATCTCTTGTACCTATATACTTTTACAGTTACCATTATTTATGCATCAGGGCTGTCCTTAGTGCCGGCCTTGGATCCCTGTTAAGACTAAGATCATCGAGGAAAGATACCATAGTTTTCAGGGCCATAGTTTTTTACCATAGTTTTCAGGGCAGATGCGGATTATTTTGAAAGAGTAAAACCGTAACCATGCCTGGTTTTTCAGTTTTGCAGAAATATTTACTTAATTTTCACAGTATTATAGTTTTACACTCTTTTGGAGTAAGGTTGTCGAATTTGGATATCCGGATCCGAAAATGACCGAATATTCGGAAATTTTCGGGTTGGATACCGGATCCGTCTATCCGAAGATTTCCAACTATTCGACAACCGTGTTTTGGAGTATTAAAATATATAAATAAAAATATGCTCATTTTCAATATTTAGATTGATCACAATTTTCCGTTCTATCTGATTGAGAAGATACAAAATGCATTCAAAAACCTTTTCAAAAACTTAATAACATTTACACTACAAGCTCTAGTAAACTACCTGTTAAATGTAGTGCGTCAACGTCGCGCTAGAAAAGAAGGAGTTTGCGGAGTAGGAGTAGATGTTGGTGGAGGAGGAGGAGGTGGAGGAGGTGTTAAAAAAGTTGAAAAAGGACAAGAAGTTGCTAATAATGAAGAAGAGGGAGGAGAAGCTGGTGAAGGAGGAGAAGGAGGAGATGATGATGGTGGAAACGCAGATGATCATTCTGCCGATGATTTAGATGATGATGCTGATAATGAATCGAATGATAAGGTATTATACTAAATATTTTCTGCTGTATACTATGAATTAAAAAGCCTAAAATATTTAGTCTTTAACCTTAATTTATCAAGAGAAAAAACTGAAAATATTTTTTAAAACCTAAATGTTTTTATTACAAAATTTTAAATTTTATAATAAATTTTGAGATTAGTTTATTTGTGGGTCGGAAAAGTCAGAGGTTTCGGTTATCGGAAGAGCTGGAAATCGGAACTGGCTCAAAAGTCGAACTCGGAATTCAAAATTTTTTAGGAAATCGGAAGGAAAAAAACATCTGAAACAGGAAGTCGGAAATCAGAATTCCGACCCATCTCTGGTGCCAATATATCCAACTTTTCTGTTCGATTCAGGTTGCCCCCGGAATAATATTTTTAATATTTAGACTTGTTTTGATGTTATGCTTGAGAAACATAAAGAAGCGTTTAATGGTTCCGGCAATGTAGTTGGCAAATTAGAAGATATGCTCAAAGATTATGTTAATGTGTTTGAACAATTAAGAAATCTGCTTAATGATTATAGCACAATGTTTGATGAACTGCTCAACTTTTTTAACAATCTGATGAAAAAACTACTCGAACTTTTTAATGATTTGTTGGTGATACTGATTAATTATTTGAATAGTATATATGATAATCTAACGGAGAATCTAAAAGATGTACTTAGATATTTTATTAAAATGATGCTTACAGAAAAGAAGGTTGAAAAGATGCTAATGGGGATGATTAAAAATTTAATTGGTGATCAGCTAAAGAAAAAAACAAAAAAGCCGTTCATAGATTTTAAGTTAGCGTTGGAATATGATGCAAAAGATGTATGTGATGATGATGGGGAAAAATATTTGGCAATTTCTACGAATCTATCGTTAAATGCTTCATATAATAAAGCTTTGTCAGATGGTTCAGAAGAGGAGGTATTCAAATTTCATACATAGCCCCCTACTAAATAGTGATGCTCGGGTATCCCAACTCCCGGAGCGGGAAATTTTCTCGAGTTTTTGGCCTCCCAAGGTCATTTCCCGACCCGTTTTCCGATTCCTGGGTACTACTAAGGAATTTGAGGCTATTTTTAACTAAGGACTATTTTTGAAGACTATTGTTACCAGGATTGTAATAAATATTATTATTTTTGACCATTTTGATCTCTTTTAAAAATAGATATCGTAGTAGACCTTCCATAATTCTTAGCCTTAAAGCTAAAGCATATACCTAATAGTATTTCTATTTAAAATTTAGATATCGGAAGAATTCAACATCAAATTTCAGTCACTAATTTAAGAATAAATTTGAAAAAAATGATTTGAACTATTGAATTTGGATTTATTTTAAAAGATACATTTTATGCTTTAACTGAATTTTTTCATATTGAAAAATAAAAGAAACATATTGGTAAATATTAAAAATAAAATATATTTTCGAGTTTTATCAATAGATTTTTTCGTTTTTCAAAGGTTTTTTGTTTTTTCCTACTCTAGGTTAAGTCCTAGAAAAAATTTCTCTTAAATTAAAAAAATTTTTTTCAGAGTTATTTTTACACAAAAAGAGCCATCTTTATTTATTCCTTTTTACTGGTTCCTCCATTCAAACAAAATCCTTCCACCATCGAAAATTAAAGGTTGCGTGCGCTATATCCAAGCCAAGCCAAAATTAAAAATAATTTCAAGACATTGAGGATTTAATTATTTTTAACTATCTTACTAAATATTTTTATAGTAAATTGTTCAATTATGTCCTTGTATTAATTATTTATTCATTCACATATATCCATTCCAATCTTCTTAAAATTATTAAAAACCCTATATAGGTGGAAACATGCATCGGCTGTAGAAGGAAATGACCATTCCCAAAGGTGTGAACACTGTTCTAAAAATTTGTTTTTGTTGTTGTTTTGATGTCGCGCAGTAAAGCACATTAATGGGGAAAAATAAAGCAGGTGATGAGCGAATGCCGATGACCTCTCTCCTATTTTCTTGCAAATTCTTTCACTATTTCTGGTCAATTTTTACATTCCAATCTTAAATTGAATAAATTATCCAATAAAATTTTTATTTGGTTTAAGAATTGGTAGCCGGAAAAAATAGTACGAATTTCTGGGTTAAAATTGTATTTTAAGCCATAAGTCCTACCCTGCTAAATCTTAATTTTATCATGAAAAAGATCCGTTTGTTAAATAAATAACATGTATTGTACAAAATCTTATTGTTCAGATATCCTAGTAAATCACTTTATGATCAGATCACAGGGTAATAACGAAAATGCTATATTTATATTGCCAGTTCTTTGACGTTACGAAATTGCAGTTTAGTTTCAAAAAATTTAAAGAGATTTCCCGAATGACTTTAATATCAGAGCTTCCTGACTTTCAGTTTTTCAGTCTGACATTCAGATTAGAACTAGAGGTGAATCGGAAATGATGAAGGTGCCGGAAATCGGAACTGTCGGAAATCAGAAATGGCTTAAAAGTCGGAACACGGAAACAGCCTAAATTTTCGTAAATCGGAAGTCGAATTTACCTCTCTCAGAGCATCCAATTAAAAATAACAAGCTTCCACTAATATAAAATCAAAGCCCACATCTTTACCTGTTTTTTCTTCAATCTCTTCTGATTCATACCTAAATGAGCTTTACTTAGTATTTGCGCACCAGCCGTTTGTCATTTTTACTATTGCTTCTCTCATTTTACAAAATTTTCAACCCATTCTATTTCCTTCCTTATTTCTCTTATTTTCACACATTTGCGCATGCATTTCGTCTTTTTATTGCTTATTTTAGCCTTTTATGTCCTTCAAAAAATCCATTTTTTTCTAAAATAAAACAATAAAAGAATTATTTTTAAATAGGAATCAATAATAATATTATTTTTTAAAAATATTAAAAAAAATTTTTTTATTTTCGGTATACTTTAAAATAACCGCTATCATGTCCTCTTTAGAAAAAAAAAATTAAATTTAAAATATTATAATTGGAATTATATTTTTTTTCACTACATATGTAGTAGTAGTCCTTCTGGAATTAATATGAAAAAAAACTCGACCCAAGAATCCTATCAGATCAGGTTCAAGCCAGGCTATATTGCAAGGGGACGTAGTCTTCCCGAAGCCTAGTTGACAAGGCAAGGTTCTTCATAAATTTTTTAATTCGGCCACGCCTTGGAGTTACTAGGTTACTTAATAATACAGGGTTCTTCTTTAGGAAACTGGATCAATCTCATGATCAATCCCATCAATTCTTCTGCATTTTCTGTGATATCTCTTTCTTCTAGTGATTTAAATTAAATTAAAAATATTTTATGAATAATAATTTTAAAAGTGCCATAAATTAACATAATAAATTTTAATAATGCAAAATCAAACAACATCAACGGGTTGGCTAATATGTTTCCTTTTAATCTTGATTTTTGCAACAACATCACTTATCTTGGGTTTATTAACACCTAGTTGGCAAATTGTTTATTTGGAAGTAAATTTCAAATAATTAAAATTAATTTAAATTTAAAAATCAAAGGAAGGTAGAACAGAACACCATCATGGTCTTTGGTTAGATTGTAAGAGGGATTACTCTTATGATTATGGACGTTCCAAAGAATATTATGCTACTTTACACAGGTTTTAAAGAAAATAATGTTGGATTAGGTTATCCAAGGGTCCTAACAATGTAAAAATAATAACGGGAATTTGGAACTTGGGAGAAATTTTCAATTCCCAGTTTTTGAAAATTGGTATGGCAAGATCCATGCAGCTTACCTCATGTGAGTGTGTTAGTCTTTTCATAAAAAATTATATTTCATTTTCGGATATTCTATGAATTTCTAGAACCGATACTCTATAAGTTCTAGTATATCAAGGATAGTTCCAATTGAGAAATATTCGAGGTTTCGGATAACTCGACCAATTCCTGGTATTTTTGACTTAACCTCCTAAGAATCTATCCTTAACCCTAGCTGTTTGGTGAACTTTCACAAAAGTTAAATTCTTGTTTAATAATTTATTTCCCCTGAATTTGTATCAGAGAACACAAAAATTTTAAATTTCTATAAATTTTAAAGGCATTTCGACCTTGCCCGTCCTTTTGATCAATTTTGGCTTACAGCATTAAATTGTGTTTTTAAATTTGATTATTGGCTAGATGAAAAGGATTGGTATGAACTTGGATATGACGAGAATAGATTGTGGGGGGATGCTTATCAGCATTTATTTTTGGGTAGAAAACTTTCATAAATATTTCTTTAAAAATTAAAAAAAAAAGGTTGGAAAATAGCAACATTAGTAGCCAATCTTATCTCAACCATCTGTGCTATTTTTGCTATAATTTTTTTAATTTTTGCTTTTTGTCACCGGTAAATAAATTTTAAAATAAAATTTTTAATAAAAAATTAAAAGTTTATGTACTTGTATAGCAGCTGTTTTAGTTGTAATTTCTGTTCTTTCAAGTATAGCGGGTAATTTACTTTTTTTCATGTTTGCCTCAGATCAGGACAATAATATTATTAAAGAGGAAGAAGGAATTTATGAGGTAACTTTTTTTTGATTTTATAATTTAGGGGGTTTTGAAGAAATTTATGATCACATGAATAACAAATTTGGAATAATACGTATACCATTATGTCTCAAACATAATGTGTCTGTTCGGAACATTACGAACGGGATCGGTTAGGGTTTTAATCTAAAAATTTCTGTCAGGTCCTTCGATTTAGTTTGGATACTCGGAGATTCCTCAAAACATTTATAGGACACTCGATCCGGTCCACATTTCATCTTTTCCCTGAAACGGAAGATATTCATAATTAGTCCAAGTATGAAGTTTAAGTTTCAAGCCTCATTATAATTTTCAATGTAACATGACAAATGACAAATAACATGACAACTTGTTGTTTTCCCCAAAAATTGAATTGATTTCCGCATCTAATTCCAGAAAAATTTAAAAAATTTTCAAAAAACCACCAAAATTTTCTATTTTAGCAACATTTTGGTTGGTCATTTTGGATATCTTTATTTAGCAATATCTTAATGTTAATATGTTCAATAACCGGTTGTATAGCTACAAAAGCTGCATTTGGCAAAAATCGGAACGAAAAATTTATGAAGATTAAAGTAATTATTTTGGGCACATTATAAGATAACTCATATACCTAAAAGTCATTAAGATACAATTTTTCGACCTAGGGTATATAGTATATGTTTATTAGTATATGTAGTCCAACTTTGTATATTTACAGGGTGCGGCAAATTCGCGCAACTTTTTGTTTTTAACATAACTTACTTCTTTCTTATCGAAAATTGATAATTCTTTTTTTATTTTACACATAACACTTTAGGAAATTTATTGACACCAAAATCGCTTTTGAATTTTACAATTTATTAAAATTAATTTCCCGTCAAAGTTTAGGCAAAATTTTTTGATAAAAATTGTCCTGGAGTCGAGGGTACGATTTTCGATATGTAAAATTTATATATCATTCGAATCAGATCCGCAGCCCGATTCGAATGACGTAAAAATCATTCAGCTATCACATAGATGAACCGAGATACGGCTCACTGAATGATAAATTAAACAAACTTTGGCAAATATGAATTTTTTGTGTGAAATTTTCGAAAATGAGATTATAAGATATTTCGATACGCCTGATCGAGATAAGTCGATTGGTACCAAAATTATTGGGATTGGATGATCTTGAACAAAGTTATGATCAATTAAACTTTTACAAAAAAAATTGCATTTTTTCCCATTTTTATGTTTGGGCTCGTTTTTCTTTGCTATCCGAAAACAAAATGTTTAGTATTTGGTACCAATAAATTTCCTAAAGTGTTAGGTGTAAAATAAAAAAAGAATTATCAATTTTCGATAAGAATGAAGTAAGTTATGTTAAAAACAAAAAGTTGCGCGAATTTGCCGCACCCTGTATTAGTAACAAGCAAAATCATTGTTTGAGGGATCCCGCATGAGGGATTTTTACTAAAAATCATTGCGAGACGTATCCCTTGAGATAGATCCCTCAAAATCTCTTAAATGAAAAATTTGGAGCGTGATCTTATATTGTGGTCCAGTTTTGTTTTACTTTTCACCAGAAACTTTAAAAATATTTTTAAGATGCAAGACTTGGAAGACGATAATTGTGGTGCCCATTTACTTAAAAACTTTTCCGGTACGATTGCCTCAACTGGACAGACTTCGATATGCTCACAACAAGAAGTTTGGAGTCTTAAAACGAAAATTAAAAAAATAATTTTTAGCCCAAACGAGATTTTAATAATTCAAGAAGGTGTAGATCACCAATATATAAAATAGAATCACAACAATTAAAACAGTGGGAAAGAGAATCGATGCATAATATTAAAAACAAAACAAAATCACAGGTAGATAAAAGTTCCTCAAATAGAACACCCCCTCCCCCCCCCCCCCCTTAATAGAAAGGGAGGGGATTCCTCAAACAGAACCCCACCCCCCCCCCCTTAATAGAAAGAAAGGGGATTCCTCAAATAGAACCCACCCCACCCCCCCCCCCTCCCTTAATAAAGTAGAAAGTTAGGGGATTCATCAGGAAGAAGCTCCCCCCCCTCTCTAATAGAAAGGGAGGGGATTCCTCAGATAGAACGCCCCCCCCCCAATAGAAAAAGAGGGGATTCCTAAAATAGAACGCCCCCTTAATAGAAAGGGAGGGGATTCCTCAAATAGAACCCCCCCTTTAATAGAATGATGATTGAAAAATAGAAAACCCGAGCATTCAATTCGAGAATCTTTTTTTAAAGAATCTTTGAAATCCTAAAAATAATTTTAATTAAAATCCCTATTTTTTGAATAATTACCCTTGTTAAATTATTTTTACGGGCTAACGATAGTGGTGTTTATTAATTCAGGAATTGTGAATATTTGGGTTATGAAATTAGCCTAAACGTGGCTAATTCAAAATTAAGGGAGGGTAATTATTGTTTTAACTTCTCTGTAGAAAGATTAACTGATTGAGAAGTAATAAATTTTCGTGGGAGGGTAACTCGAAGGTGATCCTGAAAAAATCGTCTTCCGATACGACCCGAAAGCTTTGTTCGTTAATATCCATCCAGACCAACTATCCGAATAAAATATTAACAGAAAAACTAATTTTTATATAATTAATTTTTCCAGCAACAATCAAGAAATTTACATAACAAGAAAGAAAGAAATATTTTCGAACCCTCGTTAAATACCCCAACAGATTCAGATGTAGTTTACGAATATGTAGATTGGAATAATTTCGGAGATCATTTTGTTGATGATAAAAATAAAAAATATAATCAAGATGAAAGTAATAGACATTATGATCCCGTGCCTTTAGCTCCAGAAAATACAACATTTTCTATTGGAAAAGTAAAAAACTCATTTTAAATTTATGAAAGTTAACTTAAAATTAAATTACAGCCCTTCCTATTTAATTCCGACAATGAATATCTACAACCCAAATCATTAACTATTGATACATCCACAATCTCAACGAGGGCAGGTGGGAGAACAACAACAGATTTATTTTTGACTGATAATGATTTGATAAAAACAAGTATAAATTTTATTATTTTTAATAATAATCGGCTAGTGAGGAGGGTATTATGGGATGTTTCAAACAATTTTTAAATAGCGAAAGAGGGATAAATCTAGACAAAATAAAAAAATAACTAAAGATAAATCCGGCTTATGGAAGTAGCAACATACCCGATTACCTTATTCCCTTAAAAATACCTAACTGGAAGGTAGTTCGAAAATATAGCCCCACCACTTCCTTGTAAATTCTCTCATTATATCCCTCTGAATTTTGGGAATATTTTTAAATCATTCACGAAATCGGGAATTATTCGAGATTAGGAATATAGAGTTACTAGTTTTTTAATTTTATCAGTTAGAGTATAAATTGAAATCTTTGAGTTTTCTAGAAAAATCTCAAGAATGTTTGCGTTCTATATAGAAATTCGCTTAAAATTAATTTTCAAATCCACTAACCTCACAAATTTATTTTAATTTAATTTTAGAATTAATTTAAAATATTTAGGTCCCCCTCAACTTTTGAGCAGAATATCAAAACAAAACCAGTTCGGAAATACCAGCAACTTTAATGTTGACAAACCAGAATTAGTTAAAACACAAAAACCATCACAATTTATTAAAGAATTTAAGGAAAGTGAAAAACGTTTTGCTAAGATACCCAAAGTAACATTTTCAACACCCCTTCAACAAAATGGGTTGCCAAAACCTGTAAGTTATTCTCTAATATTTTTAAAGAATATATTGGTTCTATCAGAAAATTTTTTAGGAATCACCGATTAGAAAGAGATTTAGTATTATTTTTCTGAACGGCACAGAGGGCCGTTCGAACAACGGCACATGGGGCCGTTGAAGGCACATGGAGCCGTCGAAGGCACATGAGGCCGTTCTTTTTTAGCTTGATCAAATCCAAGCCAGTTTTATATCATTTTTTCCAACGAATAGTAAAGCAGCTGGGCTATAGCTATTTCTCTCCTTTAGCTAGTGCAAAAGGTTAATCGGCGGCCCGGAGCGAACCAGCATCTTCAGTAGACCTGACTGATGTGCGACTACGGCATAGCCTTAGGAATTAAATAGCTATAAGCTTTACAGAATGGATCAAGTCGAATCACTCATTAAAATCATAATATCTAGGTTTACGAAACCGAGGTCTAGACAGTCTTCTAATTAATTATTTTATCAAAAAACATCAGAAATTCATTCTTAGTTTACCCGTTCCCGCTCTTCTCATCGTTTATATTCCCCTTCACAAGCTTCAATACTTACAGACGTTAAACCTATAGTTGATGATCAGAGGATTGGATGGCCTTCAAATGGAATTAAGTAATTTAAAAATACTTTTAAATCATTAAAAATCGTTATTTAGACGTATCCCTTCAGAAATGGATAGGTCAATAGGTTCAAGTCGAGTTGATTCTTTTCTTTTTTCATCAACAATTAAAGAAGGCAATCAACAAAAATTAAAGTATAATTAATTAAATAAAATTAAATTTTGAACAATTTAAAAAATATTTTCAGTGGTTCATTACAACGAAGAAAAGAAGAATGGACGGATGTTTAATTAACTTATAATTTAAATTATAGAAATAATTTTTGTAAAGATCTCTTGTTTTAAAAAATATATACATAAAGTTGTTAGAAAAATTATTTCCTGACACTTTTAGAATTTTTAGAGATTCTAAAGTAATATTGAAGGAAGGGGAGTGAGTGAGGGAGGGATAATCAGTAAGGTTTAACATCTTATGAGTATGGCTCGGATTTATATATAGTAAATATATCACTGAAGCGACCCGCGAACTGACCACTGTCTCTCCATTTTTTATCACATCTATCACTGGTCATTTCTGTCTTTCCTCTATTCAAACTTAATGGTCAGACAATGGTCAGTATTTCAATATAAATCCGAGCCCTACGTATGATAATGTTCTAGCTCAAGGATACAAAAAGTTATTATTAAGCGGAGGATTGAAACATTTAACTGCGTGGTTTTAGGGAACAGTACACTAACCGGTTGTCCTAGTAAAGTCTGTGATTTTCATGCATATTGGATTTCTCTGACTGTTTTATGTCCGAAAATAGAATATAGTCTTTCTCTGACTGTATGTTTGGACACGGTAGGGGATTGTTTCTGACGCATTGTCTGTATAGGATAGGGATGGCAGATACTGTGATTCTTGGATATCCGGACTTTTTTTGATCTGATACTCCAATCATAGTGAAACTATTAAGAAATAACCTTTGAACAATCGTAATCATTTTGATTTCATAATTATTTTGTTTAATTGTTGACTGTCATTTATTAAAACTCGAATAAAATCACATGAAAATAATTTGCATGATCAGATTGTAAATAAATAAATAATTTCTTAATAATATTGCCTTCTTATCATATCGGATTTTTGAATAAATGAAGCAATCCGGATATCCGCACATACACATTCAATAGCAATATTGGATATATTGAGAAATATTCAATAATGAAAGCTGCGACTGCGCAGCATTTTAAAAGTTATTAATGATTGTAAAATTAAGTTGTGAAATACATAATTTCTTAATAGCCTGATTAGCTATAATTTTCACAATCTGTATACACTCTCACACAATTATGATAGCCATACTGAATAGACAATAAAGACATCATGCCACTCATGATAACACTCAAGTCATGTGCATAGCTATTCATTAAAATATTATGATGATCAAAATTAGATTGTGAAAATACATGACTACATTCGAAAAAGCCCTTATAACGTATTGAATACATATCTAATTAATTAAAAAAATGATATCCACTCACAAAATTACGATAGCCACACTGAATAGATAATAAAGACATCATGTCACTTATGATAATAATCAACTGATGTGCAAAGCTATTTTGAAATATTATGATGATCAAAATTAGCTCGTGAAAATACATGACTAAATTCGAAATAGCCTTTTAACGTATCGAATACATATCTAATTAATTAAAAATAGCGATATCCACTCACAAAATTATGATAGCCATACTGAATAGATAATAAAGAAGGCATGTCACTCATGATAATAATCAAGTGATGTGCAAAGCTATTTTGAAATCCTTATTATCAAAATTAGCTCGTGAAAATACATGACAAAATTCGAAATAGCCCTTTTAACGTATCGAATACATATCTAATTAATTAAAAATAGCGATATCCACTCACACAATTATGATAGATGTAGTGAACAGACAATAAAGCAGGCCTGTCACTCATGATAACACTCAAGTCATGTGCATAGCTATTCATTAAAATATGTAGGTGTTGAATTGTTTATTTAAAGCCTATTAATTTATATTTTTATTCATTTTGAGTTTTTAATTAATTAATAATAAACAGCTTCTTTCTCTTTTTTATAAAGTATTATAATTAAATTAGGTTTCAGTTTTAGTTACACCCATAAAAGCGTTGACATAAAAAGTCGGTCCGAATTTATAATGATGTCGAAAATATATAAAGTCGAAAATATGTGTTCACATACAGGCACATTAATATTATCCCACCCCACACTTAATTGAGTCTCAGATTAATTTCCATTTTAGTTTTTTATGCCTCGGAATAATCAAATTTCTTCTATATAAAGGTCGATTTTTGCAAATAATAAATATAATTTGCTTTTTACTTATAATGCCTCAAAAATTCCTAATTGATTGACATTAAAAAGAGAAATTAATTCGAAACTAAAATAGGGGTGGGAAGAGGGGTATTAATTAAGAACCCAAAACATATTAATTATTTGTCCCGACCAGACCTGGGCGAAACTCCAAATTTTTTTCGGACGAAACGAAACGAAACAAAAATTTTTAAAAATCATTTCGTTAACAAAACGAAACGAAACAGTCAAAATTTAACGAAACGAAACAAAACATTTTAATTTCCAAAAAAATCTCAAAAAACTTAATTATTTCAATAACTATTCAATTTTAAGCATGTTAATGGGCCGCTAATGACATATATGTTATTTTAGAATTATCTAAGGCCACACATTGTGGTCCTATTAGCCATTTGTTGTGGACCCAATCAGTTCAAACGCCAATTTAATCCTTAATTCACCTATTCCCTATATCACAATTAATAACTCTGTCCAGAATTATTTGCTGAATTAGGGAGTGGTACCTTTCGACTCAGCTCGTCGAGACAAATCAAATGACATATGTCACGTCACGAACTTTTACCACCGGTCAGAACAGTCAGAGGTGTCGGAAATCGGAAGAGCCGGAAATCGGAAAAATTCCAAAAACAAAAAAAAATCAGCAAAATTCCAAAAACAAAAAAAAATCAGCAAAATTCCAAAAACAAAAAAAAATCAGCAAAATTCCAAAAACAAAAAAAAATCAGCAAAATTCCAAAAACAAAAAAAAATCAGCAAAATTTTTCGTTACTAACGTTAGAAGATACCGCGGCAGGTATTTGTTGGATTGATTTGAGAAATTTTCAAAAGTTAGTATAGTATTAAGTAAAAAATTGTTTTAGAAGATCACAGTAAAAATTGAGTGAAATATGAAGAAAGTGCAGATTAGAAATCTCAACTTATGTGGTCATAAGGTAGAGGGCAAAATTTTGAAATTTCCTTATGGTCGAGAACTTGCTAAAGAATTAATTAAAGAATATTAATTTTTTAATATAAGCTCGTACCAAAATTCGTATTCGTACTTAGGTACGAAATTCGAGTACGAGTAAGAGCAAAAAATAAGCAAGTACAAAATACAAGTACTAGGCCAAAGTTTAACTCGTACTTTCGTACTTGGTATTAAAAGAAAAACCGAAGGAAATACTTTTATTGAATAAGGTAGAGGGCAAAATTTTGAAATTTAAAATTAGAAAAGGGCGTACTATTATATAGGTAATTAACATATGTCTAGTCTTGTATATTATAGCCAATTTATTCGATATTATTATTCATTTTGAGCTTTTATTTAATTAAATAATTTATTTACCTTTATGCGTTTTTATAATAACAATTTGGAATTAACTTGTAGATACAGAATAACACCTATAAGCAATTTAAGGGGTTTTTTAATTTATTTGGCTCACAAAGTGAGAAGTGCTCCTCTCTCTCAAGGACTTGCGGGCAAAGTTATTTAAGATTTCAAGCAACCAGAAATAGTAAAAGTAGAAAAAATTCCGGTCCAAAGTTACGATAAAGCCAAAAATCATAAAAATGATTAGGCCCTGTTTGCATACTGTTGAAAAGTGAAGGTTTTAAAAATTCGCTCTACCTTAAAATAAATATTTATAGTTTATTTTAATTTCATAGTTAAAAACTTGAATCATTCAAAATGACAAAATCATTTAACTTTTTCATCATTTTAACATTCATTCAAATTTTACCTTCAATTTCAACCGGGGGTGCATCTTCAAGTTCAGGAAATGAGCCTCATGATCGAGAACTTGCTATAGAATTAATTAAAGAATATGGGTCAGAGTCACTTGCTGAGGAGTATGAAAAGTATGAGGAATGTTTTATGATGATAAATGATATTCGTAGTAATGAAAAATATAATTACTTTGTTGGACAGGTTTAGTTAATTTGAAATTTTTTATATCATATGTAGAGCGGTACGAAACGAAATTTCGGCCATAACTGCTCCAAAGAGGTATAGCCGAATTTTTCACCATAAAAATCCCATAAAGGGTTTCCCCTTTCGTTTTCGAATTTTCAGAGCCTTTATTTCGGTCCAAAGTTGTTTTTAGTTCAATTGTATATTTTAGTGTGTAATGTTCCTAGAAGAATCATTAAAGGAAAAACGTTTTAGTGGA